GGGACACCGCCCCCCCCTTTTAGTGGGATATATCCAGTGTCCGTGTGACTGACCTAGAATCCAGTTGGGAAGTTGAAGAGAAAAATGCCTCATCAGAGAAGAGGAAGATGCTTAATAGACTGATTTAAAAGTAATCTTTAAAAAAAATTCTGGTTAAGCAGTAACTATGAAGGCTACAAGTACTGAGGAGAATCAAAACAACTTTCCTTTTAGCTAATTACTGGTAAATGATCGATTCTTTTATAGTTAAATTTTGTATTGTTTTTAAAATTAAAACAGGCCTCACTTGTTGTCAGACTTACAATTCTCAAACATAGCTGATATAGTTCATTGATATATTTTTGCAAAGTTGGATAGAGAATGAATTTCAGTAAATAAAATTTCAATAATTTCCATTATAAAGTCATAGATACATGTCCTTAGGTAAATGAATGAAATCTAAAACATAAGGGCCGGGGATTTAGGTCAGTGGTTTCATTGCCTGCTGCGCAAGCGCAAGGATCCGAGTTCGATCCCCGGTACCAAAATCAATCAATCAATCAATCAATCAATCTAAAACATAAAAGTAAATCACAGAAAAACTTTAAAACTTGTATATTCAAGGGAAGAAAGTTCTTACAAACTTATATTAATGTTAAATGTTATAAACTATAAAACATAAGTAATTTCTGAAAGCTAAAATGCACCAGAAATGACATTTCTTTATGGATGTGTCCATTTTTCCTCCTCTGATTTGTATAGTAATTATGTCACTCTAAAAGGTTGCTTCGGCCTGTCTTTATCCCTAGGTAAAGTCTTTTAAATCCATTATTTCTGAATGTGGGATACTTTGAAATTGTTTTGGTAGCACTGGTTAAGGTTACTGTTTTCAATATGGTAAATACTGCTTTAATGACTTCGGGATGTCTTTTAAGAGATAATTTTCATAATGCTATGAATGTAGACTGTCACATTTTAGTTTTCTTTGGAGTCAGAGCAGTTAGCAAATACTTGTTAGGATGACATAAACTACTTTGCTAAGTAAGCTTACTATTATGGAAGTAGTTTTCAGAGTTTAGGTGCCTCAGTAAACAGCTGATTGAACAGATGTAATTCTGCAGGGATGGAGGGATTGTCTTTTAAGGTTATGTATTTCTATATGTTTTATTCAGATTTCCAAAAAGGCAAAAGACCTATGAATATATGGATTGGTTCACTTTCTAAGTAAATGTTGAAGAAAATCAAATTTGAAGTATTATAAATGAAAGAGTAGGATATAAAAACTGTATGTAAGGGAAAGGACTTTATATTTGTGTGTTAGTTTATATTCATTAAAAAAATCTTTGGAAGAGATCAAAAGAAACTGTTACCAATTAGAGGGCAGGGTTGAAATTTGGGCAGATAAAGGACAAGGGCAAGAGGAGGATTTTTATATATTTTTTCATTTAAATATATTTGTTGGAGTGTTTTGTTGTTGTTATTTTGGCTTTCTTTCTTTCTTTTTTTTTTTTTTTTTTTTGAGGGAGAGGATCTCACTGTGTTTAGCCTGGCCTTGAACTTACTGTGTAGCCCAGGCTGTCCTCAACTTGGTGGTGATCCTCCTCTGCCTCAGCCTCCTGAGTGCTGGGATTACAGGCCTGTGCTAACACACCCGCCTATTGGAATTTTAAGATAGCACTTTCTAACACTTTCATCTAAGTATAATGAACATAAAAACTACACATAGTATAAAACATGTATATAATATGAATATGAACTATATGAATATGTCATCTATTAAAATGGCAAGAAGTTAATTAAAGCTTTAAAAATTGGCTAAGTAAATAGTATTAAAACTGATCTGCCTGGATCTTTTTTCACACTACTGGGGATTAATCCCAGGGCCTCCTGCGTGCTAGGCAAGCACTCTACCACTAAGCTATCCTTACCCCTTAAAGAAAAAAAAAATGTGTGTGTGTGTGTATGTATGTATATATATGTGTAATATTTATAAATAAATAATTTTGAGACAGGGCCATGCTAAGCTCCTCTGGCCTCAGGCCCCTGAGTAACTGACATCACAACTGTGCACCACTGTGTCTAGCTCTGCCTTGGATTTTGTGCATTTGGGCGCTTGTAATTCAAGCTAAGAATTTTTGTTCCTTTTAGCTAATTCTTATAGAAATTTTGGGTAAGGTTACCTTGGTGGTTTTGCAAACAATATAAATATTCTGGTCAGCTTTTAAATCCTACCTGATGGAAAAGATTTTGAAAGCAAAACTGTCACAGACACATCCCTGATCTGAGGTTATTGACATCCTTCAAAATGAACAGTGGATGCGGCAACATTTTTAAAATTAAAACTGTAGCTGAGGATAGGGGTTTAACCAGAATTCTCCAGCTATAAGTGAACAAGGTTAAGGGCATTGTTGCCTCACCCTCCACAACTCCTTGTCTCAGCTCTGCCTCTCACACATTCAGTTTGGGGCTACGGCAAATCAGGCCTTGGGCATAAAAGTGTGCAGGAGGACTCCAGCTGGCACCAAGAGCACAGCACCGAGATCGCGAAACTTAATCCTCACTTGACTTCCCCCACTCTGGTTCAGTTACCTCCTCATTCTACAGTCACTTTGACCAGACCCTTTCTTGGTCATGGAAAGGGTCTTCTTGTGTCTGTAGCTGCTGACTCTGGTTCTCTGTCTGATAAGGACGACAGTTTTCCCCTCTGTAGAACTGTCTGCCGAAGGGAAGCAAGGATGAGAGTTTACAAATTCAATTTTTTTTTAATTCAACTTTTGCATGTTTGCTGTCGTCCCATTCCTTTTGTCCCTTGATCTGTTAACCCAGATCATTGCTTTGTCCGTCCCATCCCGATTGTATCACTGAGAGGAGCCAATCAGACTCTGAGACTCAGTGTCATTGTTGGAACCAACTCCCTCTCATTCTCTGATTTCCACTTTCTGTGCCACTCAGGCACCTCACGGACAAGTCGTGTTATTCTTCTCAGTCCAGCTCTGTTATGGGAATTGGTACGTAGGGAAAACTGGGTAACCCAGTAGCAGAAGCCCTGGTTTGGGAGTCAGACATCTGAGTCCAAGACCTTACATTGGCGTGAACTGTGTCATGACTCAGTGCTGAGGCACTGACCAGTCCTTTGACCAGGATACATTCTCTGCTCTATTTTCTCTGTTGAGAGATGACTTTAGTACCTTATTGACATACAGTGAAGCTTATTTCTTGGAAGACGAGAAATGGACATGTAGTGTATTAAATGCAGCTGTTTTGTAAAATGGGTAAATGAGAAGATTTCTCAGGTGCCTTCTAACTCTGTGTCAGGTTCTGTGAGGAAAGTTGCCACTGGACTACGGAGGGTGGAATTACTTCTGCTTTTGTCTGCCCGCAATGTCTTTTAGATTCTCTATGCAGCCAGCTTTGTTCACCAGTGCATCTTCAGGGCATTTTCCCTACTTTCTCTCTGTGGTGTTTGGTTTTTTCAGTTATGAATTTTAGATAAATTTCATAATTTTGTCCTCAAAGGTTTGTGAAGAGACAAGGCCACTTGTGTCTGCATTTTATAGGAGAAGGAACTGGTTTACAGGAGTTTTGTGATTTGCCCAGTTACCCTGCAAATGGCAAGACAGCTTCTTTTATATCCTGATTCCTCTTCTCTATGTTTCAGTTTTGAATTTGTAAGTATAAAATTAGAAAGAATGGGCTGGGGATTTAGTTCAGTGGTTTCGCAACCTGCTGCACAAGTGCAAGGACCCCAGTTCAATCCCCGGTACCAAAAAATAAATAAATAAATAAAATAAAATTAGAAAGAATGACACAAAGATGTTTAAAGATTTTATCATCCTGATCTGAAATCAGTTAATAACATATTTATTTAGAATCTTAAATTATTTCAGGGACAAGAAAGATTTTACTTACTGTTGTAGAGTAATTGGAGCATCTTAACACGCAAAGCACAATGGATGTAAGAAATACAAAACCTTTGCCATCAAATAGTTTATCCTTTGAGAGTCGACATCTAGCTGTATGTAGCACAGTAGAGGATTTTGAATAGAAGAGATGTGTTTGGGGAGGAATCTGAGAATATTGAAGGTCAGGCTCATGTCCACATTATGGGCAGCAAACTCCCATTAGGGTTAATGAGGAAATGGTTGATTATAGAAGCTTGGTAGGAACAGGAAGACATTGGATCTAGCTCTAAGGGCTTTGTACATGGGGGTGGCTGATTTAGTCTCAGGTTAATGTGTAAAATTTTCTAAGGCTGGGAGTCAGCGATTCTCTTGAGAATGAGGTGCAGATTGGGAACGTAGGGTGAGCAGAATGGTCATAGGAAGGAAACAGACCAAAGTCCTAGCCCCAAGACTGCCTCCTGTGGAGCTGGGTACATCACAAGCCCCAGTACTTCAGCAGTTGCTCCGATAAGCGTATCAGCCATTTTTGTCCCTCCTCTTCAAAAGGGGGCTGAAATTTATACAACTTGTTTTCCTGCCTGTTCTCCAGGGGCTGTTGTTTGCAAGCTGGTATTTGTGCATGCACGCACTCACACATTAGCACTTATCATAGCAACTCTCAAGCAACCATAGGTTTTTGTTGTTTTTTTTTTTTGTCCTGATAATATAAGATTGTTAAAATGGCCCTTGGCTGCTGCTCTGTGTACTATTTTCAAGAAGTAAAATAAAATGGAAGAAAACCATTTGGAATAATAATACTTCAAGCTGCTTTATATAGCCCTTCTAATTTCATACAAGTCATGTAGTTCTGGCCCCAGGTGATTATAATTCATGAATATGTTATGTTTTATTTTCTTGAAGTTTTTTGCTTTTGAAGTATAACTGAATCACCACTAGCATATTTTTTTCTGAAGCCATACCTATTTGTCCCTTTTGTTTGTTCAAATGAAACAGCATATCAAGTGTGGAATTAGATTAATGGAGTAAATATTATGAATCATACACTCTCTAATTTGCTGCTCTTTCTTCTTTTTCTGACCCCATGTTTTGTTTTCTGTCTGTCTTTCTCTCTTCATGTAGGCTGTCAGTCCAGTGTAAAGCTGCTGGAGCGAGGGAGCAAAGGTAAAGAATGATGTAATGCACTGGCTGCCCCAAAGCATCTTTTGTTGTGGAATGGTTATTCCAGTCATCTCTCTATGAATCAAATGTGAGGGGCTGCTTTGTGGAGGGAGTCCTTTGCAAGAGCACATCAACGGGGAAGAGAAAGAGACATTCAGTTGGAGGGCTCTTGCTGAAAATGGGTTTAACTCTCCTTTTGCCAGTCACCACCAGCCTGACCTCATGCATTTTAGTACAATGGAGTGGCTGAGCCTTTGAGCACACCACCATTACATCATCGGGGCAAATTAAAGGAGGAGGTGGAAAAGAGGACTTATTGTTGTCATGGCCCATGAGATGATTGGAACTCAAATTGTTACTGAGAGGTTGGTGGCTCTGCTGGAAAGTGGAACGGAAAAAGTGCTGCTAATTGATAGCCGGCCATTTGTGGAATACAATACATCCCACATTTTAGAAGCCATTAATATCAACTGCTCCAAGCTCATGAAGCGGAGGTTGCAACAGGACAAAGTGTTAATTACAGAACTTATCCAGCATTCAGCAAAACAGAAGGTAAATGCTTTCCTTTTTTGGCCTTTTTAAGTCAAATGGATAAACTGGGGAACAATTTTAAGTGAAACCTCATTTTTAAGTGGAGAAAGTAATTTGAGAAGTTTTGGTTGCTTTTTAGATTTTGGTACCTTGTACTACCCCAAAACAATTTACTAATTGTCACATTTAAGAATAATTTATACTATACTGAAAGGTTAACCTGTTCTATTTTGGTCACAAGCTGTTTCCCTATTAATGGCTTGTTGAAATTTTTTTCTCAATTTAAACATTATGTATTTTCTACACATCCACTTTGGAAAGTAAGTAGAAATTAATTATTAGATGTCCTTTTCATATCTGGTCACAATTATGTGTGGTAATACTGGTCGAGACAAAGGGATTTTACCCTCAAGGAAATTATTCCTAGGGTACTGAAATTTTGTGTCTGTATTAGAGAAGGCTATATCTTTTCTTTTTTTTTTTTAAGGCTATATCTTTTCTTCACAAATGAAAACAAACTCATCTTTTAACTTTAATAAACAGCTGACTTAGTGTTATCGAGGAACAATGTTTAAAATGTTTAAGTTTTATGTATTACATATTTGGTTTATGAACTTTACCCTTTTATAAGTGTCAAGTATTTAAAACCAATGAGTTTGGAGCACATCTACATAGAAAAAGCATCAATTAGCCTTTCAAAAGTTGATTTAGGGCCGGGGATTTAACTCAGTGGTTTTGCCGCCTGCTGCGCAAGTGCAAGGACCCAAGTTCGATCCCTGGTACCAAAAAAAAAAAGGTGATTTATATAAGTGTGTATGCTAATTTTGACTAATAAATTAATCCTATCTCATTTTTATTCAAATAATTAATTGAAAACAAGAAGCCATTGTCTGTGTCAGCACCAATAAACATGAGTCTGCTCAACCGGTTGTTTTTAAGATTATTTTTCTAAAAGAAAAAAAACAATTATTTTTCTCACCTGCCTTCCTACAGCAAGCCTCACATTTGCCTTTCAGGTTGACATTGACTGCAGCCAGAAGGTGGTAGTTTACGACCAGAGCTCCCAAGATGTTGCCTCTCTGTCGTCAGACTGCTTTCTCACTGTGCTTCTGGGCAAACTGGGGAAGAGCTTCAGTTCTGTCCACCTGCTTGCAGGTAAGGCTGTGTACAGTGCTGAGGACTTGGACTCTCATTGAGCCATGTAAGCAGTGCTGGCCCGGGAGTTCACAGTCCCTGAGCCAACCGCAGCTGTGATGCACAAAATGACTTAGGGCTTTTGACGGATGTGACAGTTCTGCTTCACTTGAGAGCCTCATTCTTCCCACTGGTCAGCCCAAGTACCCCTTCCTTGGTGTTTATTAGCTAGTAGAGCCACACAGATCGCTGTGCTGGGTGTGGATAGCTCAGAGCCTGTTTTTCTGCCTGAGGACTTTTCTGTTCAGCTGTGATGTAAAAACACCAAATGGCCTTAGCTGCTGCTGTTCCCACCTCTGTGGCGAGAGTCGGACTAATTCAGTGTCAGGCTCTTATCAGACTTCGTGGACTCCAGAGATAGGTCACCTTTCTGGGTATTAGTGAACAATACGATAGGGAGAAGTGTGCACAATCTTCTAATTATTATGGAGACTGTTTAAAAACTTGTGTATTTTTGTTTTTACACTGGAAAAAGAAGACTCAACTTACAAATGGTAAATGACTGGATGAGCTTAGAAAGGACCAAATATTTTGTATCTGCCCCAAGGGAGTTCCAGCTCACTGAGTTCCAGAGCAGACTGTCCATCCCTCCCTCCCTGTTTTGTGGATGTTACTGAGGTCCTTTCACTTGTGCTGGCTCCTAGAGGGATGAATACAGTCTACCAGTGCATGGAATCTTAACATAAAGCTGCCGTCAGGCACATTTAGCCACAGGGAGAGGCAAGAATGCTTTTAAAAATCTGATTTGAGAAAATCAGAATATTGAAGTTGTCACTTGTATACCATCAGTGTCTTCTTAGAAGGAGGGTGCAGGGAACTTGATGTTACTGGCAGTCGATTGTTAGAAGTATACACGTTGCTGTTTTAAGAGAAAAGGGTTAGCCAGTTGTTGGCCTGTAACAGCTTTTAAGCTCTGCAGGTTTAGGTGAGATTTCTGTGTCGGGCTCAGATCATCCGTGGCTGCACCTCTCGTTCATGCTGTGATTCTGTCTGATCTCTCTGTGAGTGTTCTTAACTGAGGCTTGCTTGTTTGACAGTGCAGATTTGAGAATTCTTTGGCTGGGAGTTGTAATATTCCATCCTGTCTGCTGATGAGCACTTCTGTGGGTATAGTGCTGGGTGCTAAACCCAGAGCCTTGCCTACACTGGGCAGACACTCTGCCACTAGCTACACCTCCAGCCTGCTACGTACATTCTTTTAACGGGAATATAAGTGTGCTAAATATAACACTTACTAGAGTGCCACTAAACTGATTTCCTGAGTTTAGGCCCTCATCTCCTGCTTTTGTAGCCATTGGAACAGACTTTACTTTGGAATTCTATTCATGGGACCAGGGTTTTTTTCTTTTCTTTTTTTCCTTTTTTTTGGTACCAGGGATTGAACTCACAACCTCAAGCTTGCCAGGGAGGCACTGTGCCCTGAGCTAAAGCCCCAGGCCCTAAGGATCAGGGGTTTTTTAGAGGTTGTGCACCCAGATGTGCTTTATGACAAAGTGGTTCTGCCAGCTGCTCTAGTAGAGATACCTTTTCCCTGTGGGGGCTCAGACATGACAAGCTGGCCGAGCAGACACCCCAAGAGTGAGCGCGCTGAGTTCCCAGCACAGGTGTCTCGTCTGTTTAAGTGCTTTCCCCTTTAACTCCCTTTGCCAAAGAGCATTCCTTGGTTCTTATCTATCACTGTAGCTTGGGAGGGGCACAGGGGTCCATTCTGATCAGCCAGGTCAGCCCTAGGGACATGGAGTACACACACTGAGTCAGGAGACTCCGACATCCTCACTTCAGACACGAACCGCTTCCCAGGCCTCCATGGAAGCTCACTGAGGCAGCGCCACAAACCACAGCGACTATTGATGGCACCACATCCTCGTCTACACCTCCAGAATCCTGTGTTTCCCAGCCTAGGAGTGGCTTTCAGGTCTGCAGTGCCTTATTCGGGAGCTTCTGAGCAGCCAGACCTCTTCTGACACCTAGGAGTGTGTTCTGTAGCATTGAAAGGCCCCAGCCATCCAGAAGCCTCTGACCAATTGGGAATTCTCTTAGTTAGTAGATCTGTTCCTTGGGGTAGATAGAAAATTGGCATAAGTAGAAAAGAATGTTGAGAAGGTAAGGCCATCGATTTTTGGGAAGCTGTTTTCTTTTTTGCCAAGATCCAGCTGCACACTGGGTGTGCCAGGAATTGAGATAGAGGATGTATCAATAAAAGTTTCTTAAATGTTCTGCTTGGGGAGAAATAACTGGCCATGGGAAATCACACTAGTTTCCCACAGGGGCTTCTGTAAATTACTAGGTCACTATGATATAAACAGAGTCCTTGCTTGGAGTAATTTTTCCATCACTTTAGAACTTTCCACCACCTTGAGAAAGGAAAGCATCAGCTGTGTGAGGTGGAGTTTATGGTCACTAGGTAGGGAAGTGAATTGTGGCCTAAGTTCTACTCATACTGTCAGAATTTCCTCACCCAGAGATGATTGAGTTGGTAAAAGAGGAATAAGAGGATTTCCTACAAATTGATAAGAGCATCTTTTTTGAGATGGGGCCTCACTACATAGTATGTAGTCCAGGCTGGCTGCTCAAGTTCACTATCCTCCTGCCTGTCTCCTGAGCACAGGGATTATAGGGATGCAGCACCATGCCCAGCTAATAACAGCGTCTTAATGAGCTTTTGTCTCAGACAGGGGGACCCAAACTTACCTGGAGAACCTACAAAATGAAGGGCTACAGCCAGGAATGGGGTGTGGGATGTGTGGAAGCTGTACTGCAATGCAGTGGGCTTAATGCTTTAACAGGGTACAGATCTTGTTAATCTTTGTGTTCCTCAAAGCCTACAGCTTCCTAAGTTTTCAATAAATATTTGATATACCCATTACTTATAGGTTTTATAACCATTTATATTTCATATGATTTATTTTATTAGTTTAGAATATAAGTGATTAATCTGATAAACTCAAAGTGTAGAGAAAACTTCATTGCTTTGAAATAAGTTACTTGCAAAGTGCATTTATTCAGATAGAGCAACATGTAACTGCTATGGGAAAAGTAATATGAAAATGTTTTCATCTAAGTAGATTTAAGCATATTAAAACCTGATAAAAATACTGCAGTTAAATAATGCTAATTTTTGTGATGCTTCAATACCGAAATTTGATAGCTAACTCTAAAAATCTAGCTTTATTCATAGGAAGATACAAATTCTTGAATCCATGTTAATGGAGAAAAATTGAAATAACATTTATATTTTAAAATGTAAATGTAACGCTGGACATGTGGTGCATACCTGTAATCCCAGAACTCAGGAGGCTGAGGCAGAAGAATCCCTGCAAATTTGAGGCCAGTCTGGGCTACATAATGAGTTCAAGACCTGAACTCATGCCTGAACTACATAGTGAAACCCTGTCTCAAAAACAAAAAAAGTTAATGTAAGGGTTTTTTTTAAGGTAATAGTCACACCATAGCGTTGTTTCAACCCCTCCACCCTGTCCCCTCTTGGATTGAAGGGTTTAATTATTCCTCATTTTGCAGCCTCATTTTAGCAAAAAAGAATGAGTCTTTCCATCATCCCTGTTGGGTAGGTTATGGCAACAGCGCTCCCTCTTTTTGCTCAGATTTTGAAGTCAGTTATTGAATAAGGACAGTTTAAAGACCCACATATATCTTCTCTACCACCTTTTAAAAAATTATGACCTAAGGGCTGGGGATTTAACTCAGTGGTGACGCGCAAGGTCCCACGTTCGATCGCTGGTACAAAAAAAAAAAAATTATGACTTAAGAACTCACATTAATAGGGTGACAGAATGGGTGAGGCATAAACATTTGTTTCATAAAAATGACTTGTAACCTAGAACAGGCTTTGTAACCTAGAACAGGCTGTGACTTCTATTTGCCTGAAAAAAATCTGACTTTCTAATAATCTGAAGAGAATAATTCTATTGAGAATATTTCAGGAAAGCTTATGTAGTTAATTTAAACATTAAAAGAATTGTAAAGAAATATTTACAAAGAATAAACTATTTTCAACTTGCAACAGAGTCACAAATATATAGGACGCCGGATTAACGGCAGCAATAGGTAATCGCCGAAGGCAGAGCAGAGCGAGAGAAAGGGTGCTGCCCAGCTCTGCAGCAGCGGCAGTGTTTGCTCTAAGTAAAATTTCAGATTGAGGGGGAAGAGAGAGGTGGGGTTTAGAGAATTCAAACTATGAGTCATTTTCAGGGTTTGGCAATAAATAGATTTAATGTAAACCTTAGATAACGACCGAAGAAAAGAATACATCAGAGGAGAGGCAGGAGAGGCAGGAGAGAAAAGGCTAGGTCAGAGTGGGAGAGAGTAGGGTCCTCAGGTCTTGGGGTCTCTGTTGGCTCCCTGCGCCTGCGCGGGGCAGTCTGAAGCTGGCGGGAACCGGGCAAGGGCTCGAAACAGCAGCCTGTTTGCATCTCTGCAGCTCGCATCCGGGTGACTTTGGATACATCATTTAATCTGAGTTATGGTGATTGTTTTTTCAACTCCTAAAAAATAAAAGATAACTCTTGCCTTATTGTGAGAATCATATTAGATAGTGCATTTGAAATCTGTCAGCATCTTTTTGAAAAGAACTATAGTCATTATGAATTAGAAAACAAAATAACCAGTTACCAATATTTACTTACCAATCAACTTTTTTGGATTTGTTCAGAAAACTAGTTCTGTTTCTTGATTTTTTACTTATTCACTATCATTTTATTTTACTTGCCCTTGGCTATTTCTTTCTTTTTTTTTTTTTGGTACCGGCGATCAAACTTGGGACCTTGTGCCTTCGAGTCAGGCACTGGAACCACTGAGCTAAATCCTTGGCCCTGCCCTTGTCTATTTTTAGGAGGGCCAGATTTATTTACATTCATTATACAAAACTGAAATAAATATAGGAAAAATAAGAAAAACTGCTGAATTTAAGCTTTCATTTTGTACTAACACACAGAAAAGAGAAA